GCAGGAAATCACAGTTGGACAGGCTCCCTCATTCCAAACTCCAGGGCTGGCTTAAATCTTCTCCGTGAAGTTCAGAAGTTCCGCTCTGAATTCTAAGTCCTCACAGCTGATTTCAGGACCATCCTCTCCGGTAGGTGGCCATTTTGCTTATGAAACACACGCAGGCAAGCAATGCTGTGGCACCCAGCCCAGCCGGAGCCCTGGGTCTCATTAGACACTGTGACTTATTTCTGGCCACAGAACCTCCCTCTTAGACAAACATTACTGCTCACTGTCAAATTACAACACTGACGAGCTTTCAAGGCAAATGCTCAGCTTTGCTGCAGGAAGAGATTCTGGCCCTTGCTTCAGCTTTCTGAAATGCAGACACGCAACAAAAAGTTTGCACTAACCTTTGAAACTATTGGTGATTCAACATATCTGAGCGCAAACAGAAAGCAGATACAAGTCAGCAGAGACTCAGCAAAGTGCCCTTCAAATTCAGTTTCAGAATCTCTATCATGTATTATAAAACACACACACACAAACTAATTTTGGCAGTTGTGCAAAAGAAGGAAAAAACACCTGGTATGTAAAATAGCAGCCATAAAAAAGATGATTTAATAATCATAGAAGAGATAATAAATGGTAAATGCCTAAAATATTCTGTTATTACTAATATCCATCTATTAGATAATATATACTAGTATTATAAGCATATATTTAATATGGTATCAAATAAAATAAATTGCCAAGCCAGATAAATGGCTAATATATCTTATAGATATACAGAATTTCCATATGATCAAATAGGTTCATTTTGTGAGTTAAAACCTGGAAAGCTTGGCCACAGGAAACACCTGTGCATTATTATACATGAATTAAGGCCGTTAAACTTTATATGTAACTTTTAAAATTATACCCTAGTTAAATATTATGCAATTTTACTAGAGCCTTGTAAAAACAATAAATCAGTATGGAACCTGATTAGCTAAGGTGTGCATATTTCCTACATTGTGTCATAGATACAGTAAAAAGGAAATTAGCAGAGCATGAAACGGCCTTACACGTAAGCAGAAATCATATGACTAGTAAGGATAACAGAGGATGACTGCCCTTCTGTAAGTACCTTTCAAATGAACAAAGGCAGAACTCACTTCATATCACGAATAGGGATATTCACTGAAATCATCAAGTTTGCAATGATGCCGGTTAAAAATGCATTTCACACTGTAAGATTTCCCTTAATTATTTAAAATGTAGTAAAACATTCCCCAGGTTCATCTAATGTTCTAGAAGGCAACTAAAAGTGCAACTTGGGATTGGTTGCTTTTTAATACGACTGGTAATGTCTTAAAGGGCAATGAACCGTATTCCAGGTGATTTTAAAATACAGTAGCTGGTACCTGTACTGCGACACAGAGAGGGCAACGTGTGACTCTCCTTCCTCTGACCCTTCCTTCTACTGGTCCCTCTCCCGGCGGTGGTCCTCCGTTAGTCTCCTAACTGGCAGCTAGCATCCATCTTGCAAGTCGAATAATCCACCTAGCTCAATTATTTGTGAGAAACTCCCCTCATTCTCATAGCTTTTCAGTCTTAGCATATCAAGTTCTCTTCTTTATACAACCCTATTTTTATTCATATTGCTAATAGAACCATCACCTTCAACTATAATTAGTTTTATGAACAGCTTCCCCAAAAAGACAACATAACTTATCTGGATCTAACATATGGCGACTAATGGTATGAGATTACTGTGATGATAATGCTTACCTTTATACAGCCTGACTTGGAAATAGATTTAGTTTGCAGTGATCACAACAAACATTAAAAATAAATAAATTGGTCTTTGGGTGGGGGGGAGCCCAGTCTCTCTGTACTAGAATGATTATCAGTGTTTAATAGCCTCTTACCTTGGTATAACTACTAAAATATTAATCTTTAGCTATCATAGTACTTGAGAAAAACTATTTCACTTAAAGAAGAAAAAATTTTAGGTTAACCAAAAATGGAAGTGTTACATTTTAAGTAGCTGTAAATTTAAAATATGGGGATAATTTAACAGTCATAATACTTTATAATCTGGGTCCTAAAATATACAGGATTTCAAAAAAGTATGCCACGGGACATTAGAATCTTCTGGTAAAACTGGTAGCTTTCTCCACTCAAAAAATAACTAAACTCCAGGTTCAGATTTCGTATTATATGAGATTTCTTAATATCTAATTATATTAAGAGTCCTTAGCATTGCATTACTTACTGCAATGAAAAAGTTTAGAGGAAGGCATAGCACAGTAAGGATACAGAAGAATTCATAGCTAGACTGGCTGTAACCAAATTAGCAAAGGAGCCCTGTGTTAAGTGTTGAGCTGCTAACCAAAATGTCAGCGGTTCAAACCCACAAGCTGCCCCAAGGGCGAACAGTGAGTCTGTCTGATCTCAGTTATTTATGAAGCAGTTAGACTCTGTCTTATATGAATTTGAATAGGCTGCATAACGGTGGTTTAAGCTAGGAAGCCACATCACTGGCTCAATGTTCAACCACTAACCAAAAGATCAGTGGTTCTAATCCACCAGCAGCTCTGCCAGAGAAGAGACCTGGCAATCAGCTCCATAAAGCATGTGGCCTAGGAAACCCTGTGGGGCAGTTCTGATTCTGTCATAAAGGATCCTGTGAGCTGGAACTGACTCAGGAGCACACAGCAACAGTAACAATAATCAGAGCATCAGAAGACAAGGCTCATTCATTTCTTAGGGTAACATCCTGAAAGAAAATCTGAACAGCCTCTATGGTAGCCTCCCAATGTCCACTTATTTTCATTCCTTTTTCTAACACCTGTAATAACGTCTGTATCCAACATCTCTAATCTCTCCTCTGTGAGAGCACTCTTTAGCACATAAACACATATAAGAAATTAGCTCTAGAGTGGAGATCCAAAGCACATTAGTAGGCCACTGGAGATCCCCTTGCAGAGGGGTCTCAGGGAGGAGATGAGCCAGTCAGGGTGCGATGTAATAATGATGAGAAATACAACCTTCCTCTAGTTCCTAAGGGTTTCCTCCCCGCTCCCACTACCATGACTCGAATTCTATCTTGCAAGACTGGCTAGACCAGAGGAGGTACACTGGTACAGATAGGAACTGAAAATACAGGGAATCCAGGATGGATGAGCCCTATGGGACCAGTGGTGTGAGTGGCAAAACAGGGAGGGTAAAGGGAGAATGGGTAGGAAAGAGGGAACCGATTACATGGAACTGTGTGTGACCTCCTCCCTGGGGGACAGACAACCGAAAAGTGGATGAAGGGAGACGTCGGACAGGGCAAGATATGACAAAATACCCATTTATAAACTATCAAGGGCTCATGCGGGAGGGGGGAGCGGGGAGGGAGGGGAAAAATGAGGACCTAATGTCGGGGGTTTAAATGGAGAGAAAATGTTTTGAGAAACGATGTACAAATGCGCTTTACACAATTGATGTGTGTATGGATTGGGATAACAGTTGTATGAGCCCCTAATAAAATGTTAAAAAAAAAAAAAAGAAATTAGCTCTATCCATTACTGACTTTTTGCTTTAAATTTCTTCAAACATAGGGTCTAAACATGCTGCTTCTACTTCCCAGCTTTTTATTAACTTTTGGTCCAATTATTATCTTCATTCTGGTTCCAATACTTAGACTTGACAGTTTTGTTTCCTAAAATAGCTTTTCAAGTTCAAAGATGTTCAGTGATTTACACAATGCCATCACCACCATAAAAGTTGAAGAGCCAAGAAAGAAACAGCGCTGCTCCCCGCAAGCCTTAGCGCTTTCCACCACCCCAGAGTGCGCCTACTTCAGGCCACCAAAATCCAGCCAGTCTGCCCCACCAGATCAGTCAGCAAGGGTCTGATTTCTCCCTGCTCTTCTGATCTTCCCATCTGGGCTCTTCCTACTATAAATTCTGGTGCCTGGTCCACGTAAAGGATTTCTAAGGACTCTGCTAAGGAACTCCATCTCGAATCAGCATTTTGGCCCTTTAAACTTAGACTTTACCCAATGCTGGTAACAAAGGTCTGGCTGCGTACTCAACGCAGGTCCTGCTGACCTGTTCACATGCTAGTTCTTTAACTCTCCACTGACTGTCAGCTCTAGCCTGCTCCTAACCGACATCCAGGTGCACTGTTTGCAACCATGCCTCTGCGAACTCTCTATGCCAATCAACCGAAACGAAAAGTTATAAGCCTCTCAAGGTCTGCTTCAAAACTGCAGCTCCTTTCTAAAGCTGGCAACCAGCCATCTCCTCCTTCTTCAAGGGCCTCTGCTTATGAGAGCCAACGAGATGTGCTGCGTACCTACTGTGATCCAGGCCCTGTGTCCTGCACGCCCTACCACATGATCTGGCAAATGATTATGACCTTGAAAACAGTTTCCAAAGTTGGAACTTGCCATAGATCAAATGAAGACGATTGCTTTAAACGTACCATTTGGCAGAAATGAAAAATAAAAATTAACCCACAATCTGTACAGGTTTACTGGATAAAAACCCATAGCCAAAATTAATTTGCACTTATCCTCCTCAAGTCAAAATTAAGAAAGCATATCTGTGCAGAAAACAAAGCCACCTTTCTTCCAATTCAGATTCTTTATGAAAAGTGCACTGCCCTCCAGGGTCTACCATAGTTGAGGGACTAGAAATCAATAAAAAGCCTTTCCAAATAAGGATTGAATCATAAAATCATTATGCATCTAAAGCATGTAACATTGCCAGCAGTCAAAAAAGATAACAGTTTTATTTTACAACTATGAGATCACAAGCACTGTCCTTAAAACTACCTTGAAGTTGGTAGTAAACAAATGAGATGCTAAATTCACAAGCAGTAAGTTTATTTCAAAGAACAATTTAAATACACTGTTCAAGAAAAAGTCTGGAATTTCTTTTTCTTCCACAGGATATGAAAGTACAATTCACCCTTTCCGTCAACTGCTTAGGAACTACAAAGAGAGACTAAAAGAAATAATGATAAAGGAAAACTGCACTTACCTGAAAGTGCAAAATTATTGTCCATATCAGTCCCAATGTCAACTTGGGATTTCCATCTGTTATGTCATCATTTCTAATATTCACTAATTTCACCTGTTTTATAAATGAAAAATAGATAAAGCAAAGTGTTTTTAAAACCAGCACATTATCCTTACATAAATGCAATTATAAATTATACAAAGAATAAAAAAGATGATTTAAATAACAGCAGTGCCCACAATACTGTTTTATCTCCCATCTTCAATCATTTCATATTGAAAATTATAGGATAATCACAAAGGTAACAGGATATTATATTGCTTTTGACTTGTAGGACAAATACTAAAAGCATTCATATATAAGCAAGTAATTCAAGTGGAAAGTCCTAAATATTTAGAAATAATTTTGTCTCTTGAAAATATGCTTTAGTTTTCTCTTTTAGTTAAGGATAAGACTGTTCTAAATTATAAAATAATTTTAACAACTTTCTTACACCTCTGCAAAAAAGTTTTTAAAGGTGGCAAGATTTTACAATTTATCTATCATAAATTCTTCCCATAGAGAAACATATATATATAAGTTGCTGTACATCTGCAAGAATGTTCAAATACCAAAAAAAATAGATAATAGTGAGACTTGAAGCTCATCAACAGCTTAACTGTGCATTTTGCAAAATAAGTATAATAGTAATAGCTAATATTTTATTTCCTGGACAAACCATCCCAGAAACATTTTAGAGAAAGAGATATAGTCATGCAAACGTTCACTAAAATGAGAAATAACAAGTCACTAATACATTTAAGATACTTAAACGCTAAGCATTTACTAACACTGAATAATGATAAGCAACTTAACATTTATAGTAAATTAAATGAAAGAATAAAGCTAGTGACTCCCTCCCTCTTTTTCGTTCCTTTCACCCTTGTTACCTACTCCCTTAAAAAAATTTTAAATCGTAAAATTGTCCACACCTCTGATTTCTCATTGTTTTCAGTTATTTTCAATTCCCCTGCATGTATTTCCTTATTTTCACACTAATTAAAAAAATAGTGACACTTTGGCTTATAGTATAATTCACACTGTCACAAATCAGGATCATATCCATAATGGTGCTCATTTTCTCAATGGCTTCTCCTGACACTTCGTGTTAGTTCTGATTGGTGTCCAAAATGGGTTATTGTTAACCACTCTCTTAACTTGCCTAATATGACCTACTTATAAAACTATTGCCTCATCAATATTAAATATGAAAAAAATGCTTATACTGTTTTTTAAAAAGTATTTTATAATATTTTCCAAATATTAAAAAAGGAGGGAGGCCTGGTAGCTCGGGTTAAGTATTAGGCTCTACCTAACAGTGGTTCGAACTAAGCAGCCACCCCAAGGAGAAAGAGGGCCGGCTTCAGTGAAGATCCACCACCTCCAGAAGCCCACAACCCAGTTCTCCTATTCTGTAAAGTGCCTAGGAATCTGAATCCACCCCAGTGCTAAGTATAAGAAAACATTTTTTTAAAATAAAGGACTGCACCCCCTGACTGAGAACTGTTGTTTAAAGGCATTCTTAACATTAAAAACAAAACAAACAAACGAAAAACCCCAGCTGCCATGGAGTCCCTGCTGAACCCCCCAGGAACCTGGGGGTTCCTGAGATGGAACTGTGCATTACAGTAGAAAGCCCTGTCTTTCTCCCACAGAAATGCTGATGGGTTTCTGTTGTTGTTTTTACCATTGTATTACTACCCCCACAAAAAGCACTACCAGTGGGTTGATTCTGATTCATGTTACCCCAAAGGGCAGAGAACTAAGGTTTTCAGGTTGTAAATCTTTGCAGAAGCAGAAACCTCATCTTTCTCTCTAGAAGAAAGCTGGGTTTCAACTGCTGAATTGTGGCTAGCAGCCCAATTTGTAACCAATATGGCCAGCAAGGCTCCATTCTAAGGCTACCGAGATGTTATTAACTTGGCTTAGTAAAACAGAGGAAAAATCAGTAGCTATTCATCAGATGAAAAGGTAGCCAATTACAATTCAACTGAGTTTACACCTACTCTTAGCTGTCTTTGCTTTGGAGCAAATGTTTTAAAATAAGTTTAATGATTGCAATTCGCAGGCAAATTTCACCTTTTTTAAAATTTCCGACATATCTCTGTATAGATCTACTTAATCACATATGTTTAACTGACTTTGGTCTTTGGAAAGCGTCCTACCTGGCGTCTTTTCAGATAGTCAAGTGCAATCTGTACATTCTGCAGCCTGTGAAACCGCATCCGGCCCTTCTCTCTGGGCTAAGAATAAAAACACAGAGTGTGAAAAAACACACCATTGCTTATGATGCCATCGCCCATGCTAAAGTGAGTGTATTTTCTGCCCAACTTACTAGGTCGATACAATTCCTGTCAGAAAACCCAAGAATTTTCAAAACCAATTTAATTTATCTGTAGTATGTGGCCTTGAAGTTAAACACTAGCAATGATTACAAATATGTTTTATTTGCACATCTGCTTTATTCCAACTGTTTTACTTAAACAAAAGGAAAAGGGAAAATACCACAGAACATACAAACTTGTTATAGTCCCTGATAGTACGATTCCAGTCTATGTTTGTTTAGCTATGAATGCAAAAATGAATTAAATACCATTCCCCAACTGGCCTCCTTAATGAACACTAATTACTAAGAAAGAGTTCCTATAATTATTTATGTATGACGTGTTAAGAGAAAATGAAGGAGCATGCAGTTAATATTAAAAAATAAAAATAAACGCCAAGGAAGAGAAAGACCGAGGAGGCGTATTTAGCCATAATAAAGGAAGAAAGAAAAGCAATTAAAAGCATGTAATTCCTCTCTCCTTTATTTCAGCTTTCTCATCATATTATTGGACTCTATCATAATCAGAAAGGACTCGGGAATGGACATAATTATTTTCTCAGTCTTGGGACAACTGACAAACCGTGGTTCTTTTCCTTGATGCAGTTTCCCTTTAAAAATGTTACAAATTAGCAGAAGGAAAAGAGAAGGAAACAGAGCTGAGAAAAATGCTTAACAAAAATAGACAATGGAGCTGAAATTTATCACAAAATCTTCCATAAGGGGGGGGGGGACCGACAGCTTAGCTGCTCAAATATGAATATGCGGTTGAAGCTAAAGGCACCATAAAAAAAAGACAGCAGACCACAGAAGGGAAAAAAATAAGCTTTATATATAAGGTGGAGATGAGATTGGTAATCCACTCACTGGATTCAAGAAAAGGACAATTGTCAAAAGTGTTAGGGAGCAAAAAGGGCACTTATCTGTCTTCCAAAGAGAGTTCACGTCAACTAAGTGTACAGATCAAATAGCTCCTGGAAGCACAACTAGGACTCAGATTTCTTTAAATTTGCCCCCTTATAAATTGCATGAGCTATATGAGTCCAAGATTTATGAAGATTGTCCATCAAACATCAATGGTCAAACCGGTATGTCTTAAAGCAGAAACTTTACTATAGAGAATTTTCATAAATTCCTTCCAAACAAGCAACTTACAGTTGCCAAGTTTAAAATATCCATTTCTGGAGTGGAGTGAATTTGCATGAAATCATCAAGGTAGGGGTAAGTTTTATGTATTTATGTAAAATCACTCAAAGGGCCATCATGTGATCTATGCAAATATGCGCATTTACCATGCAATGCACAGTAACATAAAAGTAACCTACTCATTTTTTCTCTCTAAAGATTAATTTACAGAGAAAACAGTTTCTTTGTCCAACTTTGCAGCACACACGCATCCACCTCACTGTGGGGTTGGTCCTTTCTGTACTTTTCTCAACGGGGACCCGACCGCACGCGTGGGTTACTGCACTCCCACGTTAGTGCTCACCGCACTGGAATGGCTAGGTTAGTTGCGTTATGGGGGCCGACACCTACCCCCTTATCCTCATCCTCCACATCCTCATGCTGTTCATAGTCACATGCTTCTGTTGCACTCACCAATCGTAAGGTCTTCAAAAAATCTCGCTCCCTTGGCTAATGAATATAACAGACAGAAGACAGAACAGCAGAGACACAAGACGGACCAGAAGTGAAAAGAAGAGCATGAACAGAACATAATGAAGGGGAACAGGGAACAAAGGAAGGAGGCATGTTCACAAAAAAAAAAAAAAAGGAAATGACACCGGTGGAACGGGTTAGACCATTTTTCAGAAAGCGATGTTTACGTCCTTGCCAGTTGTGAGTCTTTTAATATGTGGTTATATTATGCATCCAATTTCTGCTAGCAAAACCCCAAGGTAAAAAAAGAAGCAATAACAAAAATAGTATTTGCATTATAGAGCTGATTATATATCTAAAGTAATCAAACGGCTTCACTCTCATAAGTTCACATCACTTGAAGTTAAAAAATGCTTACAAATCTATCCAGAACTTTTCTGTTTTTCAAGCCAAAATCACAGATAAAAGGATGGATGTTGCAAAAATCTGAACAATCTGGGCCAAAAACACTTATGTATAGTGTATAACATGAACTTTACAACAAACGAAGGAAAACTTACCAAGGTATCTCCTGAAAGAACCTCTAAAAGAGAGATCAAATTGTGTCCATCCCGTAAGTCTTCGTACAGGTCGTTCACATGTTTTCGAACCTACAGAGAAAGAGAGCAACTTAAAACACATTTGACTCTAAAAGCTGAGATCATCTCTAAGGCCCCTAAACAAGAAAGGGAAGACGTAGAAAGTGTTCTGTATACGTGAAGTGCTGGGCTGCTAACTGAAACACAGCCGTTCAAACCGCCTGCCACGCAGGCTGCTCCTGTAAATGTCTAGTGTCTCGGAGACCCTCCGGAGTAGTCAGTTGTTCTCTGTCCGATGAGGTCGCTATGAGTTAGTGGGAACTGACTCAGTGGAAGTGGAACCACTGAGTTAAAACACTTCATGTCTCTAACGAAAGCATGCTGCACACATTGTAGGGAACCTATAAATACCCAAATAAATCAGAAGGGGATTATCCATTCCTTAGAATATGTTCCTTGGGATGTTATTAAATTACAAGCCCCTCAAACACTCAATTACTTTCAGACATGATGCAATGCTTGAGGATGTTTCCAGGAACACATCTTCTGCACACATGACACATATTCATGCAGACAAGCACTTAGTAAAGTAAGAGGGCTGACATTTTCTATTTACATATTAAATCACTACAAGAATTTACTCAGGGTCATTTCAAACCATGAGTTCGAACTAATACGGCTGAGATCTCCTTAAAAACAAGGCAGAGAAGCTAAATATATGAATTTTAGGCACACTCAGGTATCTAAAGCTATGTACTTCCCTGGTGAATCTCCTAACAATTAAAAAACATGAGCAGGGACAATAAGAAATCATATTTCTATGAACAACATTATGAAGTTAGATCCTCAGCCAGTTGCTTTTGTCTGAAAATAAGTAACTTTACCGCGCAAGTCTGACATATGCAGCACATGGAAAGAACAGTAAAATACAAGCAAATGATCAAGACGGGATCCCCATGAAAGTAACCAGCACAGAAGTGGAAATGCCATGCTCTTCCGGGTCCACTGTACCCATGCCCTGCCAGTCAAGTATCACTCCACATTCCACACTTCCTCTGCCTTCCTCACTGCAGGATAGTGTGGGATTCTGAACACTTACTTCATAGCAAGGCAATTTCACAACTTGCCTTGCCAGATAAATTGGGTCTTCTACCATAGCAAAAACTCCCCAAATAAGGTATCATTGGTTATCGTATTTATGTAACAGTCAGCATATTAAATTTGGCTTATTCAGAGGAGAATAATAAATAATATTCTGCACTGAAAAAACAAATTATGGACAGAAAAAATATACTATCATTAGAGAAAAAGAATTTTCTCTTAAAATGTCCACCCTGCTTCTACAACTGGCCTTGTGAAGTTGTGCAAGATGTTTAAACTGTCAGCCTCAGCAAAATTAAAGGTTGGGGCAGAAGGTCCCTAATACAAACAAGGAAACAACGTTTACAGTTGGTTTAAAAAAAAAAAAAAAGAGAGAGAGAGAGACACGTTTTGAGAATGATGAGGGCAATGAATGCACAAATGTGCTTTACACAACTGATGTATGTATGGATTGTGATAAGAGTTGTATGAACCCCTAATAAAACGATTAAAAAAAGAGAGAGATTTTAAAAAATCAATGAGCAATCAACTTGAACATGCATATGAGCAACTAATGATCTCTTCTGCAGTTGGCACTTTGCTTTGTTCTGATTTAAGCTCTTCCATCATTAGTTCAGCTGATAGAACAAAATTCAGAAATTATCCAGCAATATCATTCATATCATACACAAGTAACACCTTGCTGAAATTAATTTCAAAAGTTTTACAGTGGTCCATAGACAGGAAACCACCAGAAATTCAAAGATTAGGGAGTGAATGTGGAAGGAAAGCTATCATTGTTGATGTCGGGTGGAACTTAGGTGAAAGCGGGGGAATACAAGATGTTTCTTACATAATATTGACCACGCAAAGGCAGTTGAATGTGTGGGTCATAACAAAGTACAGCCAGAATGTTCCTATAAAGAAAGGAGGGCAAAATTTTGTTTCACTACTTTGGATGTGCTATTTCAAGGGGCCAGTCCCTGGGGAAGGACACCTGTTTGGTAGAGAGTCACAGAAAAAAGGGAAGACACTCAGGAAGATGTACTGCGCATCGATGACTCCAACAATGGGCTCAAGCATCGCCGTTGTGAGGCAGGTGCAGGACCAAGCAGTGCTTCATGCTCTGCTACTCAGGGTTGCTGTGAGTCCGAACTAAGCAAATGGCCCCTAAGAGTAACAATATCATACTGGCATCAGCCTTAAGATATCATCATTACTATAACCTTCATCATTCTATGAAAAGCAAATTTTTCCTTTCTGAACAAAAACAAACAAGAATATAACCTGTTGGGTTATTACTAGACACTAGACCCTGTTCTAAGTGTTTTGTAAATATTAGCTCCCTTTCCTAAGTACAGATATCTGACATTTTAATTATTGATTAAACAATGTAACACGGTTACGTTATCTATCAGTGTTTGTTTTATATCTAGTTATCTTCTCTTAGGACTTGATCCATAGGAACTGTGGGCTAGGTGCTGGGCTGCTGATTACAAAGTCAGATGCGTTTTGAAAAGACATTTTGGGAAAGGGTGGTTGTTAACGAATTAACGGGGAAAATGAGGTTTTAGACAAATTCTCAAGGGAAGGAACAAAATGAGTGGAAGAAACATTAAAATTAACTACCATAGGAAATATTTTATTTTGTCTTAAACATCTGAGTCATACACATTCTGCCTGGTAACATTCCCTCACAGATGACTACACTACTGCCAACAGCCTTCATCTTCCATCTTCAATGTTTCATAAAACCCTCTCTTTCTTTTTTTTTTTTTTTGTTGGATATATTCTTCCTTTGGGACAAGTCTGAGTAAATAGCGCTAAAAGAAGTGATGAGCACAGTAAAAGCACTGTGACACACTCTTAGAGATTGTGTAACTGTAGTTACATAATAGGGGTGTAGCCCCGCTTTCTTTATTTCACAGTTCCTCCGTCATTTTGCCCTGCTTTTTAAGATGGAACGTAATAATGTGCCCATAGAGGACACTGATCTTTTGCTTCAGGTGATATGCTAAGGGAGGAAAGTAAACAGACTAGAAAATATTCTAAGGGGGAAAAAACCTAACCAAGTTAATTGCAGAGGAAGAACGGGGCAGGTTATGCCATGTCTGGGTCATCCAAACGGTTCAGTTAATCAAAAATACGACTCCAAAAACATGACATCAAACATTTCATTGTTAACCTCTAATTGTTTGGTGCTGCATGAGCTAAATAAATCCTAACTACAGAAAAGAGGGTCATCATATAGCTGTGCATTTAATGTTTAACACACTCATCTTTACCAAAACTCCAACTTGGTGATGGGTGGCAGGTGTTTCTATGAGTGATCACATGGAAATTTTATCCATATTTAAACATATTCAATCCAGGTCCCTGAACAGGATTTGAGCATCCCTTCTATGCCAGGGAGTTATTTAATAACTAGGGATACAATGATAAATTATAGAACACCACTTCTTGAAGACTGCAGTCGAACTTGGATGGGAGAAATTTAGGAAACTTCAGCATAAAGTACAACAGAGTCAGAACAGGCAGAGGAAACCATGGAGTATTGTTAACACAGTCTCGGGTCTTCTAGAAGATGGGAATATTTGTTCCAGGTGTTGAGAAGAGCAAGAATGATTAAAAAAAGCAAGGACACATGGAACGATAATAGTGAGTCTCAAAGAAGTGTTCGGGGTATCAAAATCTGAATCGTGTGGTAGAATATGAGGCAGGAAAGTAGACCAGGAGACCTCAGAGGTTGTACAGACCCTATAAAGAAGCTTGATTTTCCTAAAGACAGAGGACCTCTGAAAGTTTTGAAGCAGGACAGGGGCACAGTATCCCTGACCAATATAAAAGGTGTATAGTATTATAAGTTTGCTATATTGTAAAATTTTATTGTATAGTACAAACCCAGATTACAAGTAAAATGAAGGGCCTTGTAGATACAGGATGATGGAATAAAGGTTCCTCAGGAAAAAGCAAAATACACTAAAAATTCAATTTAAGAAGCCTGGGTAAAAACCATGCATCTAGCACAGCAGCAGAGAGCAAAGTCCAGCGACATAAAGAATTCCATCCTGTCTTAGAGAGATTCCACCTCTAAAAGACACAGTATTCTCGGAAACAATCAGCTCTCTCTAGACAGGTGCATGAATAATGAAAGAACTTGTCTAAGTGAGATCGCCTCACGGCCTTGTATGAAATAGCAAAGCAGGATTTCTTTCAAACAAATACATTGCTGTAAAATTAACTCTTACAGGTTCCTCAAGAGACCATCATAGAATACATAATTCAGTTTTTTAAATAAAAATTGTATATTAATATATTTCCATACCAATTAGTAATAAATAAACCAATGATTCCAAAATACACAGGGACACTTTAAAACAATATGCTCTTAGGTAGTTGCCTTATCTGAATAGTTCTGTCTATTTTCAATCTATTTCAGTATTATTTCTTAAAGAGTTATGAATTAATTGAACTATAAATTAGAGTCTCCCTGAATTATGAAAAATTACAAATTGGTACATGTTAATAAAATGAACAGTACACATGTCTGATGTGATAAGAAGATTGATAAGCTCTTTTTTTTCTTGATAAGCTTATAAATGCAATATGAAAAGTTACCACAGAAGTCATACATAATTAATCTCCACTTTTTCATAACTATAAAATATACTTGTCATACTTCTTAAGGTATCAAAGCATATAGTAAAAACTTTCCAGTAAGTAAAAACTTCCAGGCAGTATAAATAATATACTTTACATTGGACGTAATTATTTCATTGACCAAGAAGTTCTTTTAATCTTTCAGGTACACACAATCTACAATTGATTAAAAGAAAACAAAAACAGTCTTGTTTAGTCTTTCGCCACAAGATGGAACTAGAGAGAGTCAGATAAAATAACCGCGTTTCATAGCCACTAAAACCCATTTTTTTTTCTTTTTTAACATTTTATTAGGGGCTCATACAACTGTTATCCCAATCCATACACACATC